TAGAAGCTTATAAAAACTCCCTTGTCACATATCAATAAAATCAATAGGTACATACCTACCGGCATACTAAACAATACGATATACAGAGATATTATCACAAGGATACCATTGACATTTGACAAGAAACACGTCACGTCTGAGAGTTTGACGTGTTACAAACGGAGTGTGCTATTGGTGAGTACGATATATGTATTTGATAATAATGGTTGATGATTTAACTATTCTATTTAATGACAAAAAATCAATAGTAACTAGCTAATTACCTACCCATAGAGCTTAAATACAAACCCCAAAGAATAGAATACAAAATCATTTATTCAAATAGAACTTAACACTTTTGAATAATCATTGTTATCATTCTTTTAATCTACCGCTCATTCGGAAAGCTGTCATCACAAGAAGAACGAGCAAGAAACTTGCGTGTTGCTCTTTTAAATAATCATTGTAACTTTACGTTTCTATTTAGAAACGTGCGAATATAAACCACCAACTAGCAGTAATTTATTAGAGTCAGATATTAAGTACTCAATAGGATTTAAATAGTTGTAGTGATTAGAGCAGACCAGTCCCTACAAGCAGCACTCACGAGTATGACGTAAGAGCCAGCCATCACTGCATCATTTGTTGCCCACGGAATTGATGCCGGGGCAAAGCGAGGTTGAGGGCTTGCCCCAAAACCTCACTGTATTATCTGCAGGCGGCTGCACCATTCCATTATAATATATTAATAAAAGAACCTATATTCTCTGCGGTGAAGAGGATAGTGTTCAGTTAGTAATGTGGACATGTCAGGTTGACCTCCACGCGGTTCGCCCTGGAAATCAGCATGATAAATTTGTTACGATTGCCTCACATCATGTTCATCTTATCATCCTCCACTGGTGTCCTCCAGCTACACCGTTAGCGCAGACGGATGATAATGGAATGGTGCACCTACATGCACTTACGGTACGCTGGTCGAGCACCAGTGAAAGATGATAGGATGAGCATGGATTTACCAGAAATTGACCACGATGATTTCCAGGGGGGACCGCGTAGACTCCGACATGATATGGTTATGAGGCCGACTATCGTCATTCGTAACAATCCGCCCCCTCTTATCAGTCAATGCAGTGTTCTCCACGACGTCGACAATTAACAATGCCTCTACCTACCCCGTCTGGGATTAGAGTCTAGAAGATATATGTGAGAGTTAACGTCATAGTACTAAGTAAGTAAACTTCGAATATATTCTACGGCCGTAAAGGAATATCTTTCAAGTGCACTTCGTCATAACATTAATTATTCTATGACTCTCACGGCACTTAAGACTTTATGATACTGTTTCAAAGTGCCATAAATTTAAGTACGTATATCTAACGTAAAATCTGTTGTAAATTTTTTATTAGATATTTGACTGCAATTTGTTGTTTCTGTCCTTACTTTTAGAATCAGATGATCGGACGCGTGTTATGTTGGATATTGGAGAATTAGCCATTTTGGACGACATAAGAGTAGAGTATTCCATGTCTACTATGTTCCATGTATTTTAGTAATGTAGACTTATAATCCCATAGCTAGCAATGCACCCTGTCCGGTTGATCTCCACGCGGCGTGATAAATTCCTCATGAATTTGTCATGATGTGCTAACTGACCTGACCTCAAGCGCATCTTATCTTCCTCCACTGGTGCCCCGCCAGCGTATACCGTTAGTGCAGGCGGGTGGGTGCATAATTATATTATCATCGATCTCACTAATATTACAAACGCGAAAGTTTGTGAGTATGGATGGATCGATGGATGGATGTTTTTTACTCTTTCACGCAAAAACTACTGAACGGATTTTGATTAAAATTTACAGTAATATAGCTTATACATCAAAATAACACATAAACTAGAAATGCGGGTGAAAACGAGAACTATCTCTACGTGAGTAATGTTCATTTATTGTAATTTTTCGCATAAATGCATGAAAAAAAATGCATATATACATATCAAAATAATAAAAACAATATTGCTTCTACAGTCACGTATTACTTGTTAAATGCACGTAAATTTTTTAAGTCTATTTTTAAACGACTCACGACAATGCTTCTAATTTTATGTACGCTAAAACTATTGTACCACCCGCCAGAAACTAAAATATCATCCTAATAATATGGATGAATGACGGTCCTCCACCGTACTTTTTTCCAGAAACTTTCTGTCACGCACAACCACATAGTGGAATCACCTTCCAGCAATGGTATTTCCGAACCGATACGATATTGAAGCCTTCAAGAAAAGAGCTTATTCCTTTTTAAAAGGCATACAACGCACTTGCTATTCCCCTGGTTTACTGCCGCTGACCATCAGGTGAGCCGCAAGCTCGTTTGTCCCCTAAGCTATAAAAAAAGATATCGACGTCTCACTGATTATTAACAAAACACTTTCAATTATTGCATTAATTCTGTTACACACGTAACAGTTGCATGTTAGTGGTGACCATATGATGATTTTAATTATCCGTTTCAATGATTTCGCACGATCAAAACCGAAGTAAGAAAATCGATCCAATATTTCTAATTAATATTGCAAAAGCGTGTTGCTTTATCTAAGTTTCAAGTTTTTGACTGTCAGTATGTTCTTGCCAATCTCTGAAACAATTGAGCCGATTTTGACGGGACTTTCACATGCAGATAGCTAATGTTCTAAACCGTAAATTAGGTTACTTTTGTTTTAGAAATTTTATTTATTTTAATAAAAAAAATTAAATATACACGCGGAGTCGCTGGTAACAGCTAGTTCTATAATATATATAAATATTCAAATCCGTCTAAAGTCTAAACAGTGTTAAAATACATTATTATACAATATATTCGTTTGGAAAACAAAATATTGCTATGTGAGAAATAAAACAGTCAGTTTCACACATGGCATTTTTATATCTGTAGCATGGTAAATTTACTATACATCTGTACAAGTTTGCAAACTGTTAAACATCTTATTGAGAACTAGCTGTACACGCGATTTCGTCCGCGTGGAATTTAAATGTATTTATCTAAAATAAAAGTAGCCTATGTTACTTCTACATCAGCTACCATCTAAAATAAAAGTAGCCTATGTTACTCCTACATCAGCTACCTGCCGAAAAAAGTCCCGTCAAAATCGGTACAGCCATTTCAGAGATTAGCTGGAATAAACAGTCAGACAGACAAAAATCGTAGGAAATGTTCTTTTTAAATGTTATTTACCATCTTTATATTCATATGCATGTACTAAAAAAACGGTTATTTCAATATTACAAATAGACACTCCAATTTTATTGTATAGATTTCCTCTAAATATATTTACTTAGAGGAAAACATACCTAATGTTAATTTGTTAACTCACATATTTATATTTAAACAAATAATTCTAATTATTATGTTTGATGTTTTTTGTAGAATCTTTGTGCAATTGTTAGGTGTTACTTTTTGCGTACACAGACTTGTGTACACATACTATGTTTTTTTTGGAAGTTGGCTATCTGCAAATAGTTTTGGGTACTATGGGTACTAGCAGGTGATTTGTTGGTAGTAGGAGTGGGAGGATCTCTATCCTTTGACACAATATCCATATTTCAGCTAGCTAGAAATCTTTCATCCAGCTCCAGGAAATTTGTTCTTTTTAGTCTTTTTGCTGGGTTATTGATTAAAGGCTTCCAAATGAACTAGCATTCGCATTGTATAGAGTATTGTATAGTATTACATATTCTATATGTAATAATTTTATATTGTGGCAGTACATAAAAATACCAAGATGGTATTTTCACGTCTCTGTAATAATTATATATTAACTCATAAAACAAATTAATGCTAAACATTGTACAAAAAAACTTGTAATATAAAATTTCTCTTTTTGTGTAATGTATAATTGAGTTGGAATGTTTTTAAATTAAACTAAAACATATTATCTCTACACTATATACTCATTCATTTGGCTTAATTTTAGGCTCTTTTGATGTGTCAAATCTACTCAAATCTAAATTTGCTGATCTATGATACATTGGGTAATTCTACTGGACTGGTGGACTCCCACAACACAGGTTCGCCTAGTGTGAAGGTCCAATGTTTAATCAACATATTTAATATAAATAAATAAAATATTTGGAATATTTAAATTAAGAAACAGGTTTTATGCCTTCTGTACCAAAGACAATGGCTGTATGGGTATGAGTCCTTTTGCCTTTCCCAGAAATGTAAAAAAATAGAACTGAAAAAAAATACTTGTACACTATGTGTTACAAGTACTCGAGGCTGAGTTTGGTTGCTATTGTTTTTCTCAGTACAGTGTGTAATTTCAAAGGAAATGTTTCATTTGTATAGAATGTGATCATTATTCAGATTAACTTAATTTCAAGCAATTCAATGCTCAATTTATATGATTCATTACTCTTTATAGGCAAAAACTTACTTGTAAGTTTCATAGAATAAGTTCAAGTACATTATCATATTGATGAGTAAGTTACATTCACCAATTATTTTTTTCTTAAAACAAATGTTAATTTGTGTCAGTTAATTCAATAAAAACAAAAATAAAGATAGAAATTTTAATTTGTTTGAATAATAGTTTTAGCGAAAGTTCCTATGTAGAATACGAAATAAGTCAACATAATTAGAAAATAGGCGTAAGTAAAAGTACATCTCGTTATTGGGAGAAAGTGAAGTGAATACGCTAAGTGCACGCGTAAAAATGTGAGAGGACGGTAAGCCGGCGACTAATCAGATTGGTAATTAAAAACACCGTGCCGACTATAGGACTATACTTGTGATGTTTCAATAAAAACTTGACTGATACAGATCTGGGTCGGCATTACTCGGCATATACAGCAAATACTTAATTATTCTAGATGCATAACGTCGATACTACAATTGTAGTCTTCAAACTCCCTCCTAGACCTTAACATTCAAAAGTTAACAGCTGCTATGACTAATTTATACGAGTAAATCAATAACATCTTAATGGTACACAAACAAAATCAATAGTCTAGACAACTCACCACACTCGCCGTGTCTTGGCTGTCTAAGGAATATTTATCCGTATCTTTAGCTTGATGGTCGCTGGAGAAATTCTCATATTTGCGCGTGGGACTACTTTTCATTGTTCAAACGAAGAGTTTGGGTTTAAGCCTCAAAAGACATTTTATTTCACCAAAGAGACAACACGAAACACCAAAGAATTGGATATCACTGACTGATTGAACTGACTGAAGGACTGATTAACTTGTAGTGATGACTGCATGACAAGTAACAATAACTGACAGATATACTGTCTTGTACTGACAGCTTAATTGACTTTTTTAATATGGTTACGGCTTTGACTATTAATAATTAATAAGAATAAGGGTTTTGATTTTAATTTTTGGTGCAATTTCAAGGAAATATTACAGATTGCACCTTAAAAGTTAATTATAAGAAAGCAAAATATAGTTGATACAGATTTTACTTTGAAGTTACAGTTATTGACCGCGGTGGTCTAGCGGTTTAGTACACCGCTTTACTTCCGATGGTTATAGGCTCGATTCCTCGCACGATACATGCATTTGCATTCATGTGGATGATTGTTTGTATTGGTCTGACTGTTTTCTATGTATTTAGAAAGAAAAATGTATATATTTAAGTATAATATTTCTATGAATTGTCTAGTATATTATTACGACCTAATTAAAAAATATAGTAGTCAAAGAGTCGTCTTTTGGTACGTTGATGTTAGAGAATTTAGTTTATCCTCGTAGTTTTTCATTAGCAAACAGTTAATCAGAATATAGAAGTTTTTGGTGTTTACCAGATTCAAACTCACATCCTCATATCTCTTGAGTCGTTATAGTAAATAAATAACTAAACTACAATGCTCTCAAAGTTTATAGAATGTATATAATTCAATCTGTACATATTACGCATGGTCGATCGATAATTTTCACCGAATCCAATTTCTATAATAAGTAAGTTATGTTGATAGAGAGGCACATTTATAAGAACATTGCTTTCACACTTACTTTAATTTCTGTTTCTGAATCCCACATGCGTATTTTTGTATAATCTTTGGCTCCATGTTGATTTTTTAAACGACGGAACATCAAAAGTTATATATCACTGTAGTTATCACAGTAAAGTACTTAGAATCACTAATCACACTTAAACAGACTATATAATGGTTTCATTGTATGATCCACAGGTTATTTGACATCACAGTCCCCACAGGAATAAATTCTTTTTATATATATAAAACCAAAATTATGAAGATTATTTTAAAATATTATTAAATTCAACTATATGTCATTTGGATACTAATTAAATGTATATAACAATGCACTTTTATATTTATTAATTAATTGCCTAATATTAAACCGTTTATGACCATTGATAAATTCATTTCACGATATATTTTATTTATCTACTGGCTCTACAGTTTTACTGACGCGTACCTATCGTAATACTACACGGAAATACCTACTGCATACGTCTTATCAATATTGTGATAATAACTACAATGTTTCCCCATAGGCTTATCATTTAACCTGTAACATGACTTTATACAATATATAATTAATTAAATAAAAAACGTAGCCTATACGTAACGTAACGTAGCCATAGTAAGCCGGGCCAGGTGTAGAATACACAAAAGTTATTTTTAAATTTCTCTTATGTAAGTGGTTTAGTTTTATACTAAACCAAACAAATAAAGGAAATATTGTATAAATCTTACTAAGGATATAAACGCGAGTTTGTGAGTATAGATGGATGTTTGTCACTCTCTCAGGCAAGAACTACTGATCTGGTATAATCTAACTAGTTGCTATTCATATCGCTGTAAAGTACAAATATATTGGCTTTTATTCTTGTTTTGTAGTTTTATTATATTTAGCATTTATATCTAAATTTCAAGATTTTCTATCAGGTTATCGATTCTTTTAGAAGCCTACATTTTTATGGATCGAAATCATGATATGATATGATGAATTCGTTATTTGTATGAGGTTTTTTAATTAAATTATTTTTTAGTATTAATTGCCACCTTAATTATCAGTCACCTTCTTAAATTTCTATTAAGATATTACATTTTCATGGATCGAAATACTGATAGAAAATCTTGAAATTTTGTGTATGTAGTAGTGATCATCACAAAAATGCTTTCCTTCTCTAGTTTTACATAGTGCCTAATTTATGATGCTGTGAGATACATACAGACAACTCAGTCATAATATTTATACTGATTATTTATCAGCTTCTGCTCAAAACTAACACAAGTAAAGATATATTATTATAAATGACAGTAGATTGTAAAAGAAATAAAAATAATTATCTAACATGATTTATTTAAATATTTCCTATTATAATAAAATTAACAAAACAAAGATTTCGCTTATGACTTGAGGCCGTCCTGTAATCCGAAGCCGGGACCTGTAGGTTCTTCAGTGAGGGATGTCAACCCGCCAAGTGGTTCTGCCGCAAAACGACCGCTCCTGAAATTAATTGAAATATCAATACAAACATTTGACAAAATATAGCAATTTTTTTATAATATCTTCTGACTTGCATTACATTTATACTATTTCCACACATATATAACAAATTGCAACCCTCTTGCTATTGTCACTAGAATAAAAATCGAAGATGTTTTAATAAAACCAGCGATGTTGGCAACATTGTGGGTATTTAACCAAGTAATTTAAAAAGTATAGTAAACAAAGATATGATTCATATAAAGGCCTAGTAAAAAATAGAAAAAAATAAAGAATGAAAATATTATGAACCACAGCAAGCTGGATTGAATGCTTAATATTTAACACGAATGCTTTTCACTTTTTTTGTATTTTCAATATCCTGTTCATAACTACACATTACAATTTCTTTTTAATTTAGCAGTTATTGGGGTAGACTTTCTAAAAATGTACATGAAAGTCCTACGCGGTACCTTCGCAAATTATTTTGTAAGCTGTGTTTTGTTGTAGAATGAAATTTAGGGAGTGATATTACAGGGACCGTACGCCCTGTTGTACCGTGCAAAAAATCGAACCCGCGACCATCGCAAGTAAGGTGGTGTGGTAAACCGTTAGACCATCGACGCCGCCAATATCCCTCTAGCCGCAATGTAGCTTGGCTGTAGGGGTATTGGCGGACCGTCATACCGTTGTTTAGCATTCTAATTACATAAAAAGAGTTCCTACTTATCTGAACATACCTGGGTCCAGCCTTAGGTTTCTCATCTTTCTTTAGTTTTTCGACAATTTCCTTTGCATCGTCTACTGTCAGGTCCTCCTGTTAAGATATGAATTATACAATTAATTTTCTATATATGTTAGATCTTAAGATATATACAAAATAGGCCTAAATGTTACGATTTTAAAGTTGTGCGGAATAAAATTATGATTATTATTTAAAAGAGCAATAGCTTCCTACACAATCCTCACTATGAATACAATTCAGATTCAAAATATCTTTCTTCACGTAGGTCTATTGATATCATACAGACTCTTATGATATGTTCAATCTACTGTCAGTTTGGAATTTCGATATGAGAAGAACTGACAAGAATATCAGCTCATATTCTTTTCAAATAAATTATGCAATTTTTATATATGGAATCCATTATAAGTATCGCATACTCACATAGTAATCATCATTAACCTGGACCATTGGTGCATTCACACATGCTCCTAAGCACTCTACCTGAAATACAACAATGTTAATATTGTATTATTGCATATAACACATGTTTGTAGAGTCAAGTGGCATAAGAATAACAATGTAAGTATTATAAAATGTTAGGATGGACCAATTCTGCTGTGGCCTCACAGTTGAATCTTTATTCTAAATATTATAATAAATTAATAAGAATATCTCAGGACAAAATTACTCAACAACATCTAGTCACTTGTTAATTTTTTTTTAAAGGATGCTGATGAATAAAATAGAATAGAATGTAGTGATGCATCCAGCCTGCGCTTACGGTTTACGCTGGCAGAATCCACTACACCCAATTTATTAAAGTTGACTCTATTTAAAGTCACATTTTGACTCCTTGCATGGTACTAACATTTGATTCAAGAGTATGATTGTTTGTATTGGGCTGGGTCTTTTCTATGTATATTATGCATTTATTTACAAAAAAAATATATACCAATGTCTAGTACCCATAACACAAGTTTTACTTAGCAAGTGACTCTGGATCCCCTGAGATTGTTAATAATGTGGACTTAACATGTGGACATGATTTCCTAACAATCCCTTAACATTGTAAATTGCTTGCATTTTGGTCCTCATTGCAAGCAATTTACTCTGTTAGGTTGACCTCCTGGAAGAACCTACCTGGAAACCATCATGATAAATTCTATATGAATTTGTCAGGATGGGCTTACTGACCTGACCTAATTAGCATCTTATCATCCTCCACTGGTGCCCTGTCAGCATATAACGTTAGCGCAGACGGGTGCACCACTCCATTATCATCCATTCCAAACAATCATAAATAAAATTCATACCTCTGAAATGGAGAACTTTCCACATGGACTGTTACCACCAACATCACAGTTGGTGGCTGCTTTGATCGCTTCTAGGATGGCATCAGAACCTCGCAGCCAGCATGGTGTTGTTGTACACACTTGCATGTGATATTTTCCAATTGGTCGTCTAGAAAAAATTAGCAATTGATATTAAATATTATTCTCATTAGAACAAATAATAATCAAATATTCATAACCCTGGACAATTAACAGAACTCCATCAAATCCCACGACAGTTAGCAGAGGTTGTGTTACAGGTACAAGACACAGTTGTCTAGGACCTATAACACAAGCTCTGCTTACTAGACGGAGGTGTGTTGCATCAGTATATAAATACTTAGATTTTGTTAATACATACATAGAAAATACCTAGATGGATACACACAACCATAGTCATAAATACAAATGTTTGCACCATGCAAAGAGTGAAACCCATGATCAATGGAAGTAAAATGTGTGCTAAACCACTAGGCTATCTATATAACTATCTGTGTATATTTACTACATCTGCAGATGCACTTAGAATGGTGAAGCTGAAGGCCTTCATTGCTTGAATACATGAACAGCAAAATTGATGGAATTTGATAGGCATCAAGAAGAGGGAACTACAATATGAGTAAGTAGTTGTGAAATGTACAAATATTAAATTTATTAATTTCACAACTACTTATTGTGGGTATTATTCCGAGCATACACCAAACTCCATTACCATCAAGTAAAATAAAAATGTGGACTGTGAATTACTCATTACAATCCTTAAGTTCATATTACAAAAGAGCCATAGCTTACCTAATGAACATTGTGTAAAAAGTGGCAACCTCATACACCCTCATGCGTGGTAGGTTTAAGACTTCAGCAACTTTGTGCATCGCCGAGATGGGTAACCAGCCTCCATTCTGACGCTGTGCCAGGTCCAATAAGGGTATCATTGCTCCTCTCTTGTGACCCTCTGGGTAAATTGCTAGGAGGGCATCAATGCGCTGGAAATTTGTAATTATTTTTTATATTACAATGGTGGCTAACTAGCTATTATGGATTATGTTTATCATTAAGTATCATGTGTTAATATGAATACTTATATTGTTATTGATACAAATTAACTATATTTAAGTACCCTATATATAATTAACTTATTTAATAAAAAGTGATAGTGTGTACATACCTAAAAAAAACAATGACACACACTTATTGTTATACAACATTAATATAGGGCTCCTCTGATGGTAAATGGTTACCATAGTCCTATGGATACCTGAGACACCAGAGGTGTCACAAACATATTGTCGACCCTTAAGAAATCTAATATACACTTCTTGAAAATCACCATGCTGTAGTCTCATGAGAAAATTTCAGCAGGTAGTTCATTCCACAATCACTTAGATTGTATGAGGAAGCTCCTCTGAAACCTCACTGTCCGAGACAACTTAGGCTCTAGTGTGTGGGAATGAATTTGCTTTCAATTAATATTATGTAAAAATAACAAATTAATTCATATACACCTCCAGTATGAAGTATTTATTTACTCTATTGAGTGTACATCATAAAGTATCACAATGCATTTTGTAATAGCTGACACCACCTCTAAGAGAATTGAACCAAATTTTAATCTATTTGACAATCTGTATAATGTCAAAGAAGGAATATTTACACAATTTCTCACAATAATTGTTATAATTGACTTGCATATGACAACCTGAATTGTTTGCAAATAAAGCAAAAATTGTTTGCGCATAATTATTTTTAATATTACAATTTGTTATCTTCTAAAAAATAATTCTAAATTTGGAAGATAGCATCAAAACAAATGAAATCTACAACTTGCCTTCTGATTCGCCGGCGTAAATTCAAAAGGGATATTAGGGTTATCCTCTGGTGTATCTCTATGCACGAATAAACTATCATGTTGCAGGGTGGAGGACGTCTGCAGAGCCCTAGCCGAAGTACGCCACTGTAATTAAACATTTTGTACCATGTTACAAAAGCAAGAACTATCTGTCAAATCGACATTATATAACTCAATAATTAATTAATCTTTCATTTCAGGTTGCTTTAAAGGGAATATATTAACGTACCGCGCCTAAAACTCCAAACCTTAGGCTCGATAACATGGTTAAATACAAAACTTTCAAAGAAAAACTAAAATGTATTGCGAAACACTGTTCGCGAATAAGGAATACACGTTTCGTTCTACGTAATTAAGTATTAGGTTGTCTTCGTTTTGACAGTTTGGGTAGATTGAAGCGGTCTTTGGAGTGACCAGCTCTAAAATTTAAATTACTGCTCATACTTTAGTAAAAATGTGCCAAATTTTGTATAAATTACTTTAAAAACGCGTGAAGAATTTCCAAAATTATTCAGTATAGTCTGAAGTATATAAAAAAATATTAATATTTCATGTGTTCATTTAGATAAAATTCTTACTGTAATTTAAATTTGTTTAAAATAAGTAACGTACTTAAAGCGAATATAATGATCTATTCTAAATGTATACCTCTTAATGTCATGACATACTACATGTATAAAGCAAAAAATAAGAAGGGAATCTTAGTAGTGTACATTTGGACATTAGTTTAATTGTAACAGACAATTATATAGGTGGACTTGCTTTTAAGTAAAATCATATTTCAAATCAAATCATATACTCATTCAATAGTCTTCTCTAATAATGCTTGCCAAGTTACAAAATATCTGCAAAATTTCCCGAGTTATTAATAAAGGGCTATTTTTTAAAAATAAATAATGATTGCCACTCGTTACTTATGTACGTTTCGTTTTTTCCAATTTTTATTGTATATATAAAGAAATAGAAAAGCATTTATTACACCGTTAATCTTCCTAAAAAAAAATAAACAATATTGTATAAAACTAATTGCTTTATTGATTAAATTTCTTGGTCAGGTTTCTATTAATTAGATTTACTTTTGTATGTCATATTAGGTACAGCATTTTTACATACATATACATATATTTGACTTGCTACTTCAAAGACAATATTCTCGAAGGGCTATGTGTGAATACTTTTATGAATATACCCCTCAAGTCAGTGTTCTTATTTAGCTATGAAAAGTAATAATTGTTGAATAACATAATTTTTATCTAACTTTAAAGTCTGCGCCTGTCCTTCGTAATAGCAAAATCGCTGTTGAGAATTTTGCATCATCTATAAAAATGGGATTTTGGAAACCTAAGCTATGAGTTTAATTTATATCAGAAGATGATGAGCCATCTATCACTTAAAAGAAATATAAGGGGATGAAATAGTGGAAGTTTTTGCAGACGTAGTTTCGGATAACAACTAGTCTTGGCGTATGTGCCGTAATTAACCGGTCCAGTTAATTTTCCATGGATCTATTTATTTACGCTACCACAATCTTGGGTCCGCGGCATTAACCGAATGGAGCTCCTTTTATTTTAAATATTTTAACGGTATTGTTTCTCAAATAAGTTACGCACATTTTTTTGTGAATTAAATAACAAATGTACCTAATATTCTTCCTGGTAGCAACTACCATCAGTCGAGCCGAGAACGATTTTTTTGTATGAATGAAATGGTAGAGTACCTGACTCTACCATTTTAATTCAATTCTATTTGTCGCGTGTGGTATTAAAGTTGTCTAGTTTTATGATTACTTAGTACCATTTCGTTTGGAATTAGAATACTTTACACGATTTACTTTGGTATATTTTTCCATTTCCGTAGCAAAGGCTAACATAAAGCCTATAAAAGCATTGTCTGCTTGCGCCATGTGCCTATATTTCCGTGTGAAAAAAGTAAAATAAAAACAAAATAAATGAATAGACAAAGCACGATCGGCAAAACAACGACGTGGTTGCCATGGCAACTGCCGCACTCCAGCCTGCACCGAAACATTTAACTGTGGCTAGAAAACTAGGTCTGATTTAAATTGTACAAAATACAAACAATGATTTATCTGAGCCTTAATTTGATTCTACTTTATATAGATATACATAATTGATTAAAAAAATATTGTTTATTAATACCGATATGTGTAAATTTGCGGTTTCATGCTGCCTTACCGTAAAAATAATAACAAAAAAATGTATTTCAGTATTTCTATCAGTAGTGTAGCATCCATAACAAGCGCTTCTAAGCTTGGGTCTAGATGGTAATGTGTAAAATTATACTGGAGTTGATATCATTTTATTAATATAAACTGATTTAAAAAAAAAGGAAATTTAGTTTAGTTTCTTGCCAGTTCTTCTCAATTGAATCTGCATACTGACCTGGACGTTAGGCAAACATTATTAATACAAAAAACTTGTCGTTCATAACGGCTATATTACGAATAAATAATTTTTGATTTGATTTAACATTGCAATTGTTTGACTGAAGGTAGCATGTTTTATCCCCGGACAAAGATACATATAGAAAAAACAAGGCCTGATTCACAGACTTTTCGTCAGCCAGTCCAAACTCTTCGATTTATAATAGAAATGTGTTTTTTAGTGCTGTTGTGTTTAAGACATATACGAGGTATAAGAAAAGATTTTTGATAATTCAATAGATAAGGAGAACTTCATATTGAACTCTAAAACATTTAAAATTCAATATGAAGTAAACATTTCGACTTTATACTGCTTAGGAGCACTATTAAAATAAGTATAGTATATCATGAGTATTCGTACGACTACTACAAAATCATGAAAATATTTTTTTTTTCGGACTACTCTAATGCTGGTGGCCGCAGCTGGCCTTTACAGCTTCACCGGACGTTAGGAGGCGAATGCAGATGGCACTCCAAACCCGCGGAAGGACTTATGGAGCGGCTGAAGGCCAATTCCTGCCTGACGGATACGACTCTAGTCTGAGGGCACCACTAGGGGTTCAAACCTCGGCTCAGGCCGTCGTAATTTCGATCCCCGTTTGAATTGGACGGGGAACCGATCGGAGGGGGTAAATATTTGTTAATCCAAAATTAACGCGAGCAGTGCGGCGAGATACAGCTCGTATAAAGGAATCTACAAGCCATTTATCGCTATATAATTACGTCATATTCAAACCAGGGTTTTTATATAATACACTGGTTAACATGGACCTATTTGTTATTTTAATCATTTCTAATACAGGTAAAAGAAGTTTTCACACATTTTTCCAAGTTTGACGACCTCGGTGGTGTAGCTGTTTGGCACGCTGCGCAGCCTTACTTCCAATAGTCGCTGGTTCGCTTTCGCACATTGCAAACATTTTTATTCATGAGTATAATGGTTTGAATTGGTCGGGTGTATTCCGTGTATATTATGTATGTATTTAAAAAATGAAATATTTCTATCAGTTTTCTAGTACCCACAACACAAGCTTTGCTTATATTAGGGCTGCATGGTGCTGTGTGATTTGTCCAAGCTAATTATTATTATTAGTTGTAGTCTGACAGCTGACAAAAATCTAAATATATATAACTCAAAGGTGCTGACATAGTGATCTACCAACGCACAGCCCAAACCACTAGACGGATCGGGCTGAAATTTGGCATGCAGGTAGATGTTACGACGTAGGCATCCGCTAAGAAAGGATTTTGATTAATTCTACCCCCAAGGGGATGAAAGTTATTATGAAGCTTTGTCAGTTTTAAACCGATCGGGCTGAGACTATGCATGCATAAAGCTACTATGACATAGGCATCCTCTAAGAAAGGATTTTGATAAATTCCACCTCTAAGGGGATAAATTAACGCGAGTGGAGCCGCGGGCAAAAGCTAGTTCAAATATAAACGCAAAATGGCCTTTATCAAATCAAAATTGTTAGGAATGAAACTCCAGAACCTCAATTAAGTAAAGAAATACTTGTAAACATGTAAACATTTGATTCTGGCCAACATTTGACAAAATCTATTACTAATAAAAGAATCAGCTTCAATCTTATAATAACTATAAACACTGTTTTTCAGCGGGGTTTTATTAAAAAATAGGATAAAGCTCCTAACTGTTGATACTCAAGCACACAAATCACCCTACAATTCAACGATCTGTCAACCATTTCGCGCTCTTTATGCCTACCCACAGACGGTGTACGCGTACACAGATAAAAAATATCGGACCAAAGACAAGCATTCGTCACGGTATACGGCGTCCATTTGCTCCGAAATTAGATAACGGTTCATTCGGTGGCACCATTGATAAAGAATTAAATTTTTAACAGAAGATAGCCGACACCTACTGCTCCGATGCGGAAATTGAGTTTTTAGAAAGCATATTGCCGTGCAGTAATTGTCGATGGCCGATAAGCCAGTGTATTATTGGAATTTTAGAGGTCCCTTATTGGAACTAGTCGGGTAGTTGAAAATGTACAGCGACTGTCATATACTTGCGAATTGTGTAAATGCTGAATCAATCGTCATGAAATTTAGAAGCAAATATTTAAGATGGAGGACATGGGATGTTTATTTTTAATTATTCCGAGTATAAGTACGAGGGCTGTGTAATATTATTCTTGATGTAATGTAGATTTCGATGAATTTTATCAATCAGTTTTATCAATATATTTCACACTGTATCTCCTACGGGGTAGGTAGAGATATTTACTAAATTTGATTAGTCTTTTAAATGAAGAGGGTTTATATTATATTATTATTGGTATCTTATAAATTTTATCTGTATTGTTAGTCAGCCATGTCAGTTTATTTATGGAGTTGTACTTTCAATTACTTGGTCATAAAAAAGTGATCGGTTCTATCCGAAACAGTGACTTATTCTTATTTTAAATGAATAGTGTTTATATTATATTATTATTGGTATCTTATAAATTTTATCTGCATTGTTAGTCGGCCGTGTCAGTTTATTTACGGAATTATAGTTTCAATTCCTTGGTCATAAAAAAAGTGATCGGTTCTATCCGAAACACTGAACCACTGTGTTACAAGGCCTGTGTTTCTACATAAGTCTCGAAATGCATTCCTTTCAGTATACCTACGAATGTCTGATGATATTTAGGGTCGATTTGACCTTTAACTTTTTATGGGTTCTAGAAATAACGTCAAGTATTCGACCTACAGACGTTCTAAGAAACAGTATAGTTAACGCAAGGGCATATATCACTTCACTTGTCTGCCAATTAATATATATTACTAAATATATACATTATTAACATTTCCGATAATTTATTTATAAAAAAATGTATTACCATCTATTTTTTTATTAGCTACCCGCTCTACTTCGTACGGAAGGTTCGTACATATAAACCTTCCTCTTGAATGACTCTATCTATTA